GCACGATGACGTCAAAAGGGTCAATTTGGTCTTCATCTTAGCTTGGATGGGTAACCCCCTGTCCTTTCGAATAACGGAGACAGACGTGTCAGACAATGTTCCAAACGCTCTCGATGCGTGTCAACGTGGGAGCTTCATCAGCTGAAGACCGGATTCTCGAGCAACGTCCGTCGTCGAAAAAAATGCTCTAGATCATTCTTGGCCTTAGCCGGGTTCTTCGGTCATTCAGTTCAGCAAGTAGTAGCTGCTTGATCTTCCGTTCTGGAGGCATTCGCGCCACGCACTCAATTCGTCATGGCTGTCACTCGTCAGTCTGGACAAGCAGCGTCTGTACACTACGACACAGTTGGATGTTTTAACCCCGGACTATCGAGGTGCATGAGTCCATAGACTCGTCTCAGAATGCCTGTTTCGGTCGCTTGTACACTGGATCAAAGGTTTTCAGTCACTGTTCATGACTCGTGAGAAATCAAATCGGTCAGCCTGTGCCGACAGTTGACTTGCAATGCAATTGCTTACGTGAGGCATGGCACTACGCCCTCACTGGCGTGAAATCGTCACGCCAACGACCGCTTAGCAGCTGTCGGTGCAAACGTGATTTTGAAGCTTTAGCCAACCACTGACTCCGTACTTCCTGTTAATGACGAATGAAATTCCATCACTGAAACTGGAAATTCATGTGACTTTACAGAAAACTGCAAATTCGCGATGCCGAGTGTTTCTCAGCAAAAATGGACCAACATTTTTTAAACGTTTAAGAGTGCGGTTGTTGCGTATTGGAAACCGGTTAAGGTAATTTGTTTCAGACCGTAAACGTAAAATTTAAAAGCATCTGATGCACAATTAGTCAGCATTGTGCCGGAACGTAGCAACTGACATGCACCGGATTTGTGTGGTCTTCGCAGTGGCTCTGCTGCTAGCCGATGTCGTGCTGTCCGAAGGTAGAGAGAGGCGGCGAACGTTGCAAATTGCCCACTAATACTGTGTGCAATTTCAGAAGCAACCGCGAAGCAAAGGTCTCGGTTTCGCCGTCAGTACTATGATTACGACAGATACAGAAATCGCGGCTACGGACGCTATGACGGCTACGGAGGAGGATACGGCGGAGGATACGGAGGAGGCATCGGTGGCTTTGCGCGTGACTTGTACGGCCTGGGAAGAGGCTTAGAAATGCTTGGAGAATTAGGAAGTATGGCAGCAAGGATTTTATGAAGGAAAATGCAAGATACTTTAACATCGCTTGTAAACTTAAGGTCACTTGTCTACGTAGCAACTTTCTCAGTTGCATGTGCTAACTAACTGAGCCTGGAGGTTTTCACAAGGAACTTCAATAAAACTTATCGATTTATTTCTATTCTAAACTATTGATTTTATTTATATGGCCTAGGCTTAACTGTTGTAAAAATTTAACATGCAAAATAACGAATCCCTCACTGGTATATTAGATTGTCTTGAACTTTTCGATTAGCTTTCTTCATTTGCTTCAGGGATTTAACCGGCACGAGTAAAGCAGATGATGAATCCTATTTTGTCTCTAAACATGCGTGGTCATGTGTCCTTCTTTTAGACAGAAACTGTCTTAAGATATATACAGTCACGTATCTACCCTGTTTACTATCGCCGTATCAAACTTCATTGTTTTCTTTGGTCTATGGCAGATCTTTGGAGCCATTATAGAGCATCAGCACCATTTACGCCACGGAACTTTGCTCCATTATATCATTCGACACGTTGACCGTGATCCGTTTCGGTAAAGCGAACGTTTAAATTATGAAGTTCATCATCCCGTATGCATTTTAACCATTACTTCACAAGTGCAGCCACAGTGCAAAGGTTAAATTTCGAATCAAATTCAATCCTAGCTAATTTCCTCCAATTCGCACTTTCCTTGAATTACGAAATCACGATCGCATGAAACGATGAATAAATCGAAATTTTCTCATCCAATAAAATTGAGGAAATCACAGGTCCAATGAAAAATTTAAAGGACCTTGATCGAGATTGAGTTCCTTAGAGGCACTGAAGGCACGGAAGACGGAAAGTGCTGTTTTGCTGTGTATTATTAATAAAATCGTAGAATGTGAAACACTACAACAATCAATCGGAAAAGGCATTTTGATACCAATATACAAAATAAAAAGGACATGCTGACCTACGGCAAAAAATATCAATTAACTAATCTGTTCATCACTCCGTGAAACTGTATGAAATTGTGTTGCACAAAAGGGGGATAGGGATCGATATGCAGCGAACCAATTTAGCTTCATGCTTGTCCAAAAAACACGGACGCGATCTTTGTTTTAGGGCTGGCGCTTGAAATACACAGAGAAAACACCAAGGACATTCGCCTGGTACTCCTAGACTTGGAGAACACAAATCATCAAATACTAAAGCAAACAATGCAGTTGAGCATCAGAAAGTAACTTCTAGCCAGAAAGTCATTTGGGCCTGTTCATCCAATGTTCCATGGATGAATGAAAACGACAGATCGAGAAACACGTGGCGAAAGTGGATAATTGTTGTATGTATGTATGTATGTATGTACGTAAGGCTCATCAAAGTTCAGCGCTTGGCGCATTTCTATTACCGATAGCGACAACCACTACAGCTAAGTTACCGCAGGGAGCAGCCCTACAGTAGGTGCTTTATATAGTAGACGACATGCTGTCGAGTGGTGAATTTAGAGAAGCAGTAGAAACAAAACAAAAGCAAGCGGAATACGCAAGCAACTAGCGGTTTCAGCAGGCAGAACAGAGAATGAATAAGTACAGTGGGCAGTCCTGTTTGAAACACGTGAATTCCAATACCTTGATTCAAGAGCCAAAAACGACAAAGGCATGGCTCAGGACGAAAACAGAGAACGGTGCGCTGTGTGATAGAAATACGGATATCGAAGAAACTAAACGGACAGGTGTACAGAACGATAATATGACCTGAAGGTTACGTACTGAGGGGAATGTCTGAACACCCTGAAAAGAACGAGGCGAACTCTCTAGAGATTTCCAGACAAATGAGTGGGATCAAAAAGAAAGACTTGAACCTCAATACCTTCATAAAAGATATATAAGTGTACCATCAATTTGAGCAAAGCTTGCCAAAAACAGGCTCAATCGGTCCAGCAACAAGGAGAAAAGACCCGATGAGTACAATGGAAGTGCAGCTAAAGAATTTATATTGCCAGAGAAAAAAAGAAAAACAAGGCCAAACGAAAAGTGGAGCAAGCTCATAAGCACTATGGAAGCATTTTACTCTAACTGCAGACCCCTGTTAAGGGGAACATGTTATAAAGAAGGTCTTTTCCAATTTGCCAAACACGAAGGCATTAATCTAGCTCCCGCCTTGCCGCAACTGAAAAAAAACGAAATAAGAAAATACAC